GTATCGGTCTGTGTGTTATTCATGTCGGTCTACGGAGAGCGAAGAAGTGGTGGTCGGTTCGTTTAAAAGAACTTGATTATTCAATATGAAACGTTGGCTGCTTTGCTGCAGAAAAAATGCAGTTCTAATCCCAGTCTTGTCCAACCGTTCGGGTGGATGGCAGAATTGGCTTGTAATGATTCAATCAAAGAACAGAAGCAAATAAAAATCAGCGGTAACAAACCGGAACAAAGAAAAAATTGATGCAAAGATTTGCTAGAAGGTTAAAAGCTTGCGAAACTTACCTTTGGTCCTTCGCAACTAAATCAAGCATCTGATCTATGCCGAATATAAGGTTTCTTGAAAGTCATGTTAAACTCTCTGTATTTAGTTGGTGATGACAACCTAATAAAATAAGATTGGCACAATCTGAAAATAGTTTGCTTGACTCCTTCACTTCCTAGCAGCTCATTCGCCGAGAAAGCTCGTACACAAATTAAAACGATTCTTTGCTGATAATTATTTTGTTAAGTTTGCGAACTGTATTGTGGCCATTACGGCAAGTGCTTCAGACAAAACTGCCTTTCTAGTTCAGATTAGCTTCAAACATTAAATCTCCACGGAAACCAAATATCCTGCAAAGATTACATTATCGCACTAGCGTTAATTAAAATTTGACATGATGTGGGTCTGGCTAGTTTATAAGTTATTTTATGTTTTTGTGTGAAGAAATCAAGACTTACTATTTCTATTGATTGCATCAGAGTTTAAATCGGCCATCTCCAACCCTAAGCAACACAGCCGACTACAACAAAAAAGCGTAAAATAATGAAAAATCAGTAAATACTGTCTTATATGATGACTTGAACGTATTGATGTCAAATAGTTTAAGTGTGATGGCCTGTTTATTCTGGCTTGTGAAGCATAGATGATCCAAAACGACCGAAACTTATTGACTTAAAAACCCTTCAGTTCTTGAAAACTGAATAAGAAAATTATCGCACGCAAAACAGCCTATGACCTTTGCAGATATTGTACGTGCACATGCAGCTGCATTATTTAACAAGTCGGTAACTTGTCTCTATCGAGTGCGTTCCAATTCCGGCCTTATGTGTAATGAATATTCTTTTAATGCCTCTCTGAAGCGGCAAATTGGATTCCTCAAAGGCATTTTCGTCAACGACGACGTCAAAATTGATCATGCCAAAGCTTTACTTCTCTCAGAGCACAATTCATCATCGTATTTAAAAGAGCATGAGATCTGCTGTCGGTATCCATTCAATGCTGAAGAAGAAACAAAACAAATCTCAGTTACCTTAGCGCTAGGAAAGAACAGTGTTATCTCATAATTTAAACTACAGCTCACTCAAATGGGCCGCTTTGCAAAGCACTTTTTGTGTTTATCACAAACAAAAAAGAAAAACACCATTAAATCCATGATCATCACGGATGTCATCCAAATTGATTTCATTTCTATCGCTTTTTGTTCTTCAAACGTTTTGTGTTTTCAACCTGCTTTTTCCGGAGCTCAGCTTTTTAAAAATTATTAATCTGCACTGGCTTTGAGATGAAACCCCTGAGGGAAAGAGGAGAAGAGACGTCAGTATTTCACAAATTGATCTTTCAACGATTCACCGTACTAATGGCTATTCCTTTAGGCGATTTTCATCAATTAGTTACCAATAACGCGGTCTTTTAAAAGTAGCTCACCGCCAGCAGTGCAATTAGAGAAGATTAATAAACAGCTTATCAGCTCTGTTTTGACTTCGTGATCAAAATATTCCGTTCTATTTAAAAAACGCGTTGTCAATGGTTTTATTGCTTCTTATGTAACCTCCGAATGTTCATCGAGGTTTGGCCGAACAGCAAACCCCGGTTGGCAGTTCCACCACAGGTGTCCCAAGCTCACGTTACGAGAGCTCACAAGAGCGTCGGTGTCGCGTTACAGGCGACCGTTCATGATATGAAGGGAGTTACGGGGTCACACAGTAGCTACCAACAAAAAACGACTAAATCGTTAAATCCACACCGAAAAAACACAGGAATGCATCAAAGGTTATTTTCCATTATTTATGTTTAAGAAGAAAAGATAAAATATAATGAAATTTATCGTTCTTAGACCTCATTATTTTATTTTTCAGACAACGTCTCAAAGGTCGTCGGTAACGCGGCAACGTGAGCTGGGGACGCCTGTAGTTCCACGTGACCCACCTGCCCATATTTAAACTAGAATAGGTATACCTATCGATAGAGTGCCAACGAGCAAATCATGCGTGTTTTGCTTAGGAATATAATTCCTTTTTTTTCCCATCTGACCGTTTCTTGGTCCCTTCCTGTTGCAAGGATTATTTCCTTGAAAAGTTCTCAGATTCAGTCTGGTGGCTTTACAAACCGGCTATGTAAAAGTGTGAAGTGTCTTGAAAGAATAAAGTCAGCTTTGCAGGGGAAGCGATCGGGGTTATTATTAAGTTCAGCCACAAATCTACTGTCGGTTCGGTTTCACATTGTAGATAAACATTTGCACAGTTTAATCATTTAAACCTCCTTTCAAATTTCCCGAGGCTTTTTGTTACCGGATTGAAACTTAGAATGATTCGCTGGGCCATCTGAAATGTTTCCAAGGACATGCGACTGTACGGCACGTCGGTATTTAATTTTAGTTCATTATTTTTATACTGAACTCGGCCAGGTTTCGAAAAAATGGCGTTGTTTTCTTTTTCTTTGTCGTTCGCTTTAGGCTTGTAATTCGTTTTTGTTCTCATATTTTTTGTTTGCTGGTTAGATTTTTTCCCCAACACCAGATTTTCCAACAGAAGCGACTATATTCTTAGTGTCAAGCTTTCCTTATCTCCTCGTGTAATCTGATCCTTTTTAGTGGTGAGAATATTGCTTGTTGCACATAGAACACTTTTGCTGTTTTACAAACTTCTCTTCGTTAAAACGTAACATTATGGCCCCTAAAATTAATAGAATATATCAAGTGCTCATGTTTCTTGACTGCAGTGGCCGGGTTTGACGAAAAAATTTAGGTAAATAAACACCAGAAGTCGCGACGGCGGGAATTGTGTAAAATTTTTTATTTTATTCAAGTTGAGCCCGTGCCCCAGGTACTGCCTTTTGATTGGTTCACAACTCACCACTTGGTCTCAGGGGAATCTACATTACATTAGGTTACACTTTTTTCAGCTCAATCGAGAATTTTTCTGCCTATTGCCCAGTCTTGCGCGACTCTATTCTGCTGCCGCCTCGCCATCCGAGCGTCTTCGCTCGGATGGCTCGTTGGTAATAAAGAAAGAAAACTTTGTCTGTCACAATTTCTAGTAAACCCAGTACAGTCGACTCCCGATAACTCGAACCGTCAAGGGAAATCGAAAAAAGTTCGAGTTATCGGGAGCTCGAAGCAAATAACCGGAAGCAAGGGAAAAACCAGTTGTTACTGTACAGTGAACATTTTAATCACATTTAACTGTAGAAATGTCAAGTTAAAATGGAACGATGCTTCTAGAATATAAATCAGAACGTAACGTAGTGTCATGTAATGTGGGGAGGGATGAAAAACGAGCTCCCCTAAAAACGTCTGCGTGGGAGGCTAGGGTATAAAAATAGACCTTGTCACGGTTTTCGACGCCATCTTCAGAAATATACGGAAAATCTAAAGCAAGCCTCTAGAGAAATTTACGCACAGGTACGCCACCCAACTTTTTTAGGACAATCCTTTGCTTTGTAGGTTTAGTTTACAATTGATATTTTTTTCACAACAGCCGCTTTACGGAAATTATTCGACATTAGATTCTCATTCAAACATTGTAATTTCTCACACGTTTGCCTACTCGTCAAGATGGCGTCAAAAACCGTGACAAGGTCTATTCTTGGTTTTCACGTCACCAAACTTCAAACTAAGAAACTATCGCTTCTTCTGAGTTTCTACTTTCATGTGATATTAGAGCACCTTAAAACCTTGATACAAACAAATTTTCGGTTCAAAAGGGTTCTTCGTTTTGCGATACAGGACGCTTGAATTTACCGGCTTTTGCGTGACTTGGCATTTGGCTGGCGGCCGGGAAAGCTCTTATGTGGGTTAAAAACATTACGGAGTTTTGGAGATTTTGCTATCTAAACTGATTCCTTGTCTTAGTATAAATATTGCTTTAATCTTTATGAGTTCCTCAAGCGAAGGATTCACGCATAAGTAGGAAAACTCAAAAACAGAGATGTTTCTGTTGGTTTCCGGCGGCCATAATTGTGCCCATGAAAGAGACAAAAACACAAAGCTTTACAAATTTGGGTAAAACGTTTTTCCGAATATCTCGCATATGAACTATTGCAAAGACCTGATTCTTGGCAATGCTTTTTGTATATTTATCTTCTTTCATTTCCCAGATCCTAGACTTTCTGTATTCAAAGGTTTCAATTTTTATTTCTGCTTTCTCACGTGAGTGAAAACCGAGAATGTTACAGTAAATGTATGAAGGAAATCCAGGGGAAATCGATTTTATTTCGAGTTAGCGCGAGGTTCGATTTAGCGAGGATTCGAATTACCGGGAGTCGACTGTAGTTTACATTGTGGGCCCAATCTACAAATAATTCTAAAATGTAAAAGATATCATAAAAAGACATTAACGGGTAAAAAATTAATTAGTAGAGTACAATCGAGAAGAAAAAGGTACCTTAAAATGTCCTTGTAATACTAAAATGTTTGCGACTTTCATTAACGTTTAAGAGTCTCTCAGGCAAATGTTTCTTAAAGTTACTTTCATTTGTCATGTTTTTACTAGCTAGTCGTCTAGACGTTATTAGAAGATAATCGAGTTTTATAGCCATGAGTATATTTTTTATATGAATTCTACAACTTATAAAAATAATAATAAAACAAATAATCTGGACATTCCTTTCGCCCCATGTAAGGGAATCCAGGACAGTCTTGGATTCTGGATTCCATGCTGTGGATTCCGGATCCCGAGTAGTGGATTCCGGATTCCAGCACAGTGGATTCCGGATTCCAAAAAGAGGTGGATTCCAATTTTTTTCCGGTTTTAATCAGGAT